TGAGATGGTGTCTAAATGGACTTGTTTTAATTTTCTTCAGTTTCAGCCTGAATGTGTATATGAGCAGTAGATGGTCTGTTCCATAGCTGGCTCCTGACCTTGTTTGGGCTGATGTTATTGAGCTTCTTTGTGGTCTCTTCCTACAGATGTAGTCAATTTGATTCTTCTGTATTCCATTTGGTGAGGTCCATGTACATAGTCCCCATTTATGTTGTTGAAACAGGTATTTGTAATGAATAGTTTGTTGGTCTTACAAAATTCTACTATGCAATCTTCAGCATCACATCTATCACCAAGGCCATATTTTCTGACTACAGATCTTTTCTCTTTTCTCAACTTTTTCATTTCAATCGCCAGTAATTTATCATTACATCTTGATTGCATGTTTGACCAATTTCAGACTGAAAAAGTTGGTAGTATTCTTCAGTTTTATCATCTTTGGCTTAAGTGGTTTGAATAATAATGGTATTAACTGGCCTTCCTTGTGGTAGTGGTGGAAGTGTGCCTTCAAGTTGTTTCTGACTTGTGGTGATTCCTGTAGATGGTTTCTGAGTGGGAGCTGAAAACCTCATCTTTCTTCCATGGAGCATTCCTTAGAGGTATATGCTTACTGTAACAGGTACGGTTTTGTGTCAGCTTTATTTAGCCTGGATTCCAGTGGTTTGGCAGTTGAGATGTGGTTATCCCCATGGTGAGATCTAGTACAGTGTATGTAGTTAATTAACTCTATAATGATTGGCTATGAACAGTATAGCTAAAATTATGAGGATTTCCTATGAACAGCCAATCAACTGAAATGATGTTTCCTAGTGCGTGTAGCCTGCTTCCTATGTAATGCATACGCAGGCAAAGCTTTCATACTTTCTGCTGGATCTGGATCTTGCATCTGGCTTGTCCCCTAACCTCTGGTTCTTTGGGCTTGAGCCAGTGGCCTGCTCTATTGCCTGTCCGCTTGCCAGACCTGCCTGCCTGCCTACCAGCTGATCTTGGCTAATCTGACCTAGACTTGGAACTCTCCTACCTCTACAATTCTGAGCGCTATTTTCTTAAGATAAACTTCTCCTAATATATAAACATATGTAAGTTTCACTGGTTTTGCTTCTCTAGAGAACCCAACTTAAGACAGGTATTATCCTATCACAGACAGTACTGAACTTCAAGATAGATCATGAAATGCTCTTTGTAACAATGAGTGACACCATTTCTCTTCAATTTGTCATTCCCAGCAAAGTAAACCATCTGAATGCCAGATTTAAAATGGCCAATACCAGTCCATATCAGCTCATTAGTGCCTAGATTATTGATCTTCATACTTTCCATTTCATTTTTGATGACTGGCAATTTTCCTAGATTTGTACGTCTTACATTCCATGTTCTTATTAATGAATGTTTGCAGCTGTTTCTTCCCATCAGCTTTGCGCCACATTATTATGGTTGACTCTACTTGGAGGACGCAGTTCTCCCAAAGTCATATTTTGACTACTATCCAAACTGAAGGGCTCATCTTCCTGCACTGTAATGCTCAGATAATGCTCTATTGTTATTGACAAGGTTTTCAGTAGCTAAACATTCAGAAGTGCTCTGCCTCTCCTTCTTCCTAGTCTATCTTAGTGTGGATGCTCTGATGAAACGTGTCCATCCTGGGTGACCTTGCTGGTAATTAAAATACCAGTGGAATATCTTCCAGCATTGCAGCAACACATAAGCCACCATGATATGAGAAAATGACACATGAATGGTGGTCTACATGTATAGTCACCATTTATGTTGCTGAAAAAATTTCCAATGAAGAAGTCTCTTCAGTGCAATTTTTATCCCCAAGGTTGTATTTTCCTATTTTCCAACTACAGATCCCTCCTTTCGTGCTTTCTAACCAAGGCGGCTCATCTTCACACATTATTGTCAACCTTCTGCTACTATTCATACGGTTTCCAGTGGTTAATCCTTCAGAAGAAAGAAAACCATGTTACTTATTTAGTACGGCCATAACAAAAATATCACAAGTGGATGGCTTTAACAAATAGAAATGTATTCTCTCACAGGTTTAGAGGCTAGAAGTCCAAACTGGGGAAAGGTCCTTGTGTTCTATCAGCATCTGTCGGCCCAGACGTCTTTGGAGATCTCCTGTGTCTTGGCATCAATCTTACCCTGGATCTGGGAGTTTCAAAGTGCAGAACCCTGGGTCCAAAAGACCCATTCCACTCCTGGCTTTCTCTTCTTGGTGGTAGTGTAAATCCCTTTCTCTGCTCAGTTCTCTTCCTTTTATATCATAAAATAGATTGACTCAGATACAACCTAACCCAATAGGTTGTATCTGCCCACATTAACATCGTGTTGTTGTTGCTAAGTGTCTATGAATCAGTTCCGACACATAGCAACCCTGTACAGGGTATCCAAAGAGCAGCTGGTGAATTCAAATCAACCTGGTGGTCTAGTGTTTATCCTACAGCGCCATACCAAAACTCCCATTAACATCACAGAAGTGAGGATTTAAATACATAGTATAATTACATCATATCAGAGCTAATCACACCAGATCACATGTATGGTTAATTATATTATATCAAATCTCATCATGGAAGATGATAACTACATCATAACTGCTAAACCACTGAGAATCCTGGACCACCCAAGTTGACACAAAACGGTAACTATCACAAGCATCTACTCCTTCTTCCTAGTGTTTTCTTAATCTAGAAGCTCCAGTGAAACCTGTCCATCATTGGTGACCCAGTGGTATAGCTTCCAGCATCACAGCAACATGCTGATGGATGTGTGGGAAAAAGTAAACTTAGGTTTCTTAAAGGTAAAGTTTGCACCTATCTTCAACTATAATATCAAAAGTATAGTAAAAAATAAGGGTTTCAAGTTTTCAAAAATGGCATTTACTATCCATCCCTTCCACAGCACTCTACTTGTTAGCTGGGTTTGATAAACCATGGGGTCACATAAAACTCAGTCCACCATATTCATAGGATTTATTATCCAAGTTAACAGGTTATACAATTCAGGGTTACAAAACGCTCAGGCCATTGTTCTTTCAGTCATGACAGCTCCTCCGCTGCCATGCCCATAGGTGGGCCTCTCTCTGCCCAGGCAAGGTTACAGAGCTCTTTTAGGGCTGCTGATATATGCTCACCAGACACACTGAAGGTGCTCAGGTCTACCTCTGTGAGTCTGCAAACCTAGCTCCCCCAAGTAATTGCCTAGAGGTACCGCACTATGAAAGTACGCTTCCTGGCCAAAGTCACTCAGTTTTACTTGCTCCAAGGTTTAAGAAACCCATCACTCTGTCTGGTGCTCTGGGTCTGGTTCTGCTGCTGCTGCTGCTCCTCTGCCTCTCCTCTGGTGTCACAGCTTTCTGTTCCTGGGTCAAGGAGTTTCAGTGCAGAGAGATCTTGGGGCCCAAAGGGCATGCTCCACTCTTGCTTCTTCTTTTTTGATTGTAGTGAGACTTCCCCCTCTGCTTCTAAGATGGCTCGTTTTATACCCAGGATGGAAAAATTGACTAATCACAATTAGCCCTGTTGACATTCATTCACAACTGGATCATATAATTCATCAGCATCTTCCCCACCTCTCTTACCCAGACCTTCAGAAGTCATTTGGTGGGAGTTTACAAAGACTATGACTAGAAGAAACATTAACTAATTCACTGCACTGCAAGAGAAGAAAACCTCAGAGGGTTTTCATACTTAAATAAAAGTGCCATTGCATATGGGGAAATAAGTTGGACCTGGACTCAAAACTTGCTATGAAAGGACTGCTATTGGTGGTGCTGTAGGATCAGCACTGGACTGCAAACCACAAGGTCAGCAGTTCTTCACCCACCAGCTGCTCCTCAGAAACCCTATACAGGGTTGCTATGAGTCGGACGAGACTTGATGGCACTTAACAACAACAACTTTTTAGATATCTGTAAGTAATTATTAATATGTACTTTGTTTACTTAACATGATGAGATAGGTAAATAATGTATACATGTGTGTATAAATAAATACATAGATATATGTATACATACAAACACTGCAGAGTCCTGGTGTGGCGCTATGGGTTAAAGTGCTGGACTGCAAAGTCATTTGAACCACTGGGTCGGTGGTTCAAGCCACTCCTTGGAAACCCTATACAGGGTCACTACGGGTCGGTAATGACTTGATGGCTCTTAACAACAACATACAAACACTGCATTATAATTAGTCCTGGTGTAACACTATAGGATAAGCACTGGACCGTAAGGTCTGTTTGAACTGCAAGGTCGGTGGTTCAAATTCACCAGCTACTCCTCAGAAACCCTATACAGGGTCACTATGAGTCAGAATTGACTCGATAGCACTTAACAAAAACAATATTAATTAGTTATCAAAATATAAGGCAAGTATTTTATCTTTGTAAAACTTCACTAGGTTTGGAAGATGAGGGAGTTGAAGCACACACATAAACAAAATTATGGAGCCAGAAATGAGCTTGGAATATTCAAAAAGAAACTATGGTCTGGCTGTTGTGGAGGTATACCATTAGTAACTCGTGGTAATAAGGGTGAAAAGGTAGGCTTACACCAGAATCAAAGCCCCTGTCCTCTTCCAAGGAAGCTGGAGCTGGGAGATCCTACATTTTACTGTTCCTGAGCTCCCAGGGTTTGGGAACATGACCAGGGCTCAATGAACTTGACACTGTCATCCAGCACTTTGAATCTCAAGATAATGCAGTATACTTCCTGGGCAGTTTGGGAATTATTGATGGTTGTTGTGGAAGCATCAAGTTCCAAGGACCGCTATCTAGAATCAGGGTCCCTAATTAGATTCTGCAGAGGCACTATTTTGGCTGCTTTCAGAACCTTGTTCTTCTACGTTTCTTTTAGTTTGGTGGGCTACTCTGTGACCTCCCAATACATATTTTTCTGCCCATACTGACCAGAGTTGTTTTGCTGTTTGTAACCAAAAACCTTAACTGAATTATATACAATTTATAAATGAAACATTACAGTGGAATTTTACACTTACCTGGCACTTTCATACTGTTTCACGGTCATTAAGGTATCTTCAATAGTTTTATTCACCAAAGTGTTCACACTGGCAATGAAAAAATTAATAGCCCCAAGAAGAGTCTCTCCATTTTTAGCCAACAGTTTCTGGGTATCTGCATTGTAGCCAAATTCTTCCTAAAACAAAGAACTCAACTTACTCAGAAACAAAATAGCAAACATGATTTAAAAATACATCTAATTTATTACTAGTGGGAAAATATCTGGTTTTAGAAATATAACTATAAAAGTTTTACTTTTTCTCTCAATCTTTAAATAAAAAGCAATTTAAGTAATAACTATACAATTATTTTAAAAGTTTAGTAAACTAAAGTTTTATCAGCTGAGACAGTCAATTAAAATCTAAATAATTTAAAGATAAACTACTTGGTACCAGAAAAAAAAAATATTTTCATTTCTTTGTCTTACTTCTATTATACTATAAGCACAGCTGTTAGGAAGAAAAATATAGCAGATTATTAATCAGAGAAATGCTATTACTTTTACAACCAAATTAGGTAATAATTGGCTAAAACTTTCAAACATAAAACAGATCACAATTTTTTTGTGTTTTAAGGGAATCTCTTCAGAATATAAATATTAACAACACATATTTCTTTGTAAACTTGGTGACCAGTAGTTGACTCCCAAGTTAAATTTTATGCAGGCGCATAGCTGAGGAAGGATCACTCAACACAAGCTTCAGTTTATTCTTTTTGAATAAACTGAATATTAGCTCAGTAAACATTAGAGGACGTTCCTTCAGATACGGCAAGAACTAACCTTAAATTTCTAGCAGTGAAAACTTTGTAGCACATTTGACTAATTATCAAATAGATTATGAACACATCTGATTTAGGTATGAACATTTAAAAACTAGGTTATATTTTATTGCATGATGTATCATGCGAGGTATAAAGCACTTTTCAATTTCAGCTGAAGAAAAATGTAACATTAAATTAAATAGAAACTTAGAAAACACAAATTTAATGTTACTGCTGTGGCTGGCTGGCTGGCTGGCTGCCATGGAGTCAGTTCTGACTCACAGCAACCCTGACTAGGGTTTCTGAGGCTATAAATCTTTACAGGAGTAGAAAATCCTCACCTTTCTCCTACGGAGTACCTGGTGGACTCTAATTGCTAACCTTGTGGTTAGTAGCTAACACATAACCTACTAAGTCACAGGGTTCCTTGTTACTACCATAGTTACATTTCTAAATGACAACATTAACTCAATAAACAAAAGAAAATTAAAATTACTCCTTGCTTTGGTAAAAACATTTCCATTTGAGAAAGGGCCATGTAACATTTTACTCTAGATTCAAATCCTCAAAATCTTAGACCCTGATTTCCAAATATTGGCAGATACAGGATTACATAAACTACTAAGATAAAGGCAGACCAACTAAATAATTTTGGCACCAAAACTCTACAAGCTGATTTACCTTACTGGAAATAGAATAGTGCAGAAGGAAGTATTTCACAACTTTTAGAGAAGGCAATAGAACATACTACAATTGTACATATTTTGTTTGGAATTCGTGAACATTTACAGGCTAGTCTCAATAAGTAAAAAAATAAAAAATACGAAAGCAGAATTTTATATAAATGCCACAATTTATAAATGTAAGGGAATCTTTTCTATTCACTATGTAACATAGCATAGGCATATCATTACCATACCACTGTAACATTGTGTTCATTTCTCAAAATTTTCAATATCCACAATACTGTAGTATTAACTTTGAAAATGCCCAAACTGATCCACAGGGGGATCTCTCTAACCTAGAAGGTTAATCTTTTACTAAAAAAATAAAACAACACAAAAAAAACCTAGCTACATAGAGTACCCATTCCTTCGAGTCAATTCTGACCCATAGTGACCCTGTATAGGGTTTCTGAGACTATAAAGTCCTTACGGGAGCAGAAGGCCTCATCTTTCTCCCAAGGAGTGGCTAGTTGATTTGAACCAATGACCTTGTGGTTAGCTTATCCTAAAGTGCCACCAGTGCTCCTTACATAGAATACAGTTAGACAAAATAACAGCAATTTGAAATCATATAGCAAATCTCACCTACAATTCTGAAAAAAAGATTGTGTAAGGGGGAGCTTCAAAAAGTTCATGGAAAAATGGAATTAAAAGATAACGGCATTTCTACACAAACTTTTGGAAGTCCCCTCAGATATAATTTTAGATTCCAGTGCACAATTTGAAATTTCAACTAATTAGAATAAGTTTGTTTTCTTTTTTATCCCACGAGGTAAAAAAGACAGAATAAGCGAATGTGAAAAAATATGGACTCTAGTTAGTAAGAAATGAGTATATACATGCATATACATAACATGTCATTCATATGCTACTAAGATGGAATTACATATTATATAGAAATATAGAAATAATTCATGCTGAAAATAATATAAAATATGACTCCTAAAACTTTTATTAGTTAGTATGACAAGTTATTTTAGAATTATCAATTGCTTCAGTAATTATAAATAAATTAAATATAAAACAAACAGAGGGTATATATATCTTCCACTGAAGGTCAAGATAATTCTCTGATCTATAAACCTGCTTGACCTTATATAGAGAGAAGACCAAGTTTCAAAACATTTAGATTTCTTCCCCTTTTCTTCAGAAGTTCCTATATCATTTACATCTTTTGCCAGATAAAAATTTGCCAAATATAAATGACCACAATTTTCGACTAAACTTATACATTCTGAACAAATAATGGAAACATCTGGTTAGATCTACAACATCAAGCTTTAGTAACAGAAATTATTTAACTAATAATGAATGGGTTATTTTGAGTAATAATGTTGTTAAGTGCTGTCGAGTCGGTACCGACTCATAAAAACCCTGTATAGGGTTTCTGAGGAGCAGTTGGTGGGCTTGAACTACTAACCTTGTGGCTCAAAGCAACCTTGCACTCCAGCACATTAACCCACTGTGCCACACCAGGACTCCTATGTTTTAATAATATACAATATAAATATAGTAACAATATGTTGTTGTTGTTGTTAAGTGCCTTAGAGTAAGTTCCGACCCATAGCAACCCTGTATGGGGTTTCTGAGGACTGACTGTGAGCTTGAACCACCGACTTCGCAGTTCAAACGGCTTTGCAGTCTGGCGCATTAACCCACATTGCCACACCAGGAGTAATAATATAGATTACACCAGTAATAATATAGAGTGGTAAAAAACTAGAATTGTAAGTACTACTTAATAATTGAAAATATGGTTTGCGTAAACTTTCCTGATCTTGATGTAGATTTTAGTATCTAGACTGAGAAAATCAAATGTATTTAAGATGATATGGTATAACAGAACACCTCGGATTGAGAAGGCATGTGATAAAATGACAAAAGTTTAGTTTTAGAATTCATAGGTTTGAGGTTTAAATCTTGATTTTGCCACTGACTGGTTTTGTAACTTTCATAAAATACTCAAATTCTTTGTATCTCAATTTCCTTACAAATAAAACTTTAATGTTTGATAGGATGTGCAACTAGATAACCTACACAAAGTTTTTAACTGGTAATGGGCACTCATTAAAAGATAACCTTCCGTTTTAGGAGATTTGGTTTTTCACTGCTAGGTCACAAGCCCTGTAAGAGTTACCACAACCATCACCATGCATTCAGTGCCACTGAATGTGCTAGGGACTGTGCTTTCCCCCTCCCCCACCCCCACAGATCTTAGTTAATATGGCATTGGGTGTCGGAGGTACTTTTACAAACTTTATTTCAAAAAGGGTCATTTTGGCAAGAAGAGGGAGACTCTAAGCAGTCAAAATAGGCAAGAGGTCCAGTTAATGTGCAGGACACTAGGAGCCAGATCTCATGGAGGTTAGTGAAGTGCAGGACACTGGAGGCCAGTCGTCTGGAGTTAGTTACAGTTGCACCACTTACTACTTACATGCCTTAACATGCAGTCGAAAAGTGGTCATCACCATTTACCATCTGGCTCCAATGGCTCCTTTCTAGATTTTGTATTTTGAAGTAGTTTTGTAAACAACTTACAGAAGAATAAAAGTCCACCACTTGTCTGCTAGTTTGTTATACTGTGGTGCCTTGTGTGTTGCTGTGGCACTGGAAGCTATACCACTGATATTTTAAATATCAGCAGGGTCACCCATGGTGGATGCCAACAACAACAATAGAAAAGTGAAGAATAACTGCATAAGACATTTTAACAGGAATTTAAGCATAGCTAGGCCCAATTTTTAACCCATATTTCCTGGTTTTAAAGCTACTTACACCCCAAATAGGCAATGTCCTTTAAATGTTACTAACTGCTCATTAACTATCATGCAAGAACCCAGAAAATGACCAAACACTTCAATACATGATTCTCTCAAAAATAAACAAATAGTCAATAAGGACATGAAAAGATTCTTAGTATCATATGTCATCAGGGAAATCCAAATCAAAACCACAAGGAGATACTACTTCATACTCACTATAGTCTATGCTATAATAAAAAGGACAGACACGTGTTAGTGAGGATGTGAAGAAACTAGAAACTTCATTTATTGCTGGTGGTGGTGGTGTTCAGTGCTGTTGAGTCAGTTCTGACTCATAGGGACCCTATATAGGGTTTCCAAAGACTGGTTGGTGAGTTTGAACCACTGATCTTGTAGTTCAAACAGATCTTGCGGTCCAGTGCTTATCCTGCAGGGCCACTGCTGGTGGGAATGCAAAATAGATCACTTTGAAAACCTACAGTTGCTCAAAATGTTACACATAGAATTACTATTGACTCAACAATTCTACTCTGAGGAATATACCTAAAAGAAATTAAAGACAGAAAAAAAAAAAAAAGTCCTCCAAAGACCTCTCAGGAATGATCATGGCAGTATTATTCATAATAGCCAAAAAGCAGAAAATTAAACTCCATCAACTGATGAATGGAATATTGTTGGTTGCTATAGTTGGCTACTACTGAGTTGGTTCCCGATCCTAGAAACCCTATGTACAGCAGAACAAAACTTTGCCACACAATCACTGCTACATTTGAGCTTCGTCTTGCAGCCACTATACCAATCTATCTCTTTGAGGATCTTCCTCTTTTATGTTAACTCTCTGTTTACCCAAGGAAGACGGCCTTCTCGAGGGATTGGTTCTTCTTGAT